TTTACAATATCTTTTGGGGTTTATATCTTTTTTATGGATCATAGCAATTTTTATATATCTGAAATTTAAATACATATCAATAACTATACTATTTATATATTTATTTCCAATATGATGAACAAGTTATATAATAAAATTTCATATCAAATAAGTTATTTTAAATATTTCTAAATATTTATATGAATTTCAGATTATAATATTTATCATATAAGTATTAGTAAACACTGAAAATTTTACCCACAATGATTCATTTATACTAATTTTATTGTGAGCAAAATTCTCTTGGCAGTAGATTTCTTATGGCAACTATTTCCAGTGCGCTCAAATATATCATGGTTTATATTAAGAAATTCCAAATTCTTGATCCTCTATCGTTATTCTGGTTTGGTTAGTTTTTCTTTAATTTTTTTCCTATGTGTTGTGTATTTGATGGGTAGGTATTTATTTTTCTTTTTGGAATAACCAAAATATTACACAGCTACATTCATAGCACACACAAGGAGAAACAAATTCTTTAGAAATGGTTTGCAATATTAACAATCTAACTTCTATGACAAATAACATATGTGTTTGTGAGCATGTCTGTGTCTAGTTTCCTTGTCCCCATCAAGAAAAGCTAAAACTATCAATACCATCAAAAGCTTCTCAGCTGAAAGTGATGTGATATCAAATTAATGTTTTTCTTTTCTTCTTTTCTAAACAGGAATGTAACTGGATAAAAATTCCAATAAAAAGTTTTACATGTATACTAACTTCTCTGTGAAAAGCATTCAAGCAAACTGGCAAAGCCAACAAACCTTATGATGCGACTTTGCTTTTCTGTTTATATATATATATATGAACGACACTCAAAGGATTTCATTTCTAAATCTGCCTTTGAGTACATAAAGTAATAAAGTTTATCATAAATTGCCATGTATGTTTTGTAACCTCATTCAAATTTTTCAAGAATAAAGCTGCTCTTTACAGATTTTACAAGGAAACAAATGCTAATAGCCACAAAGAGTCAAAATACAGGGTGCGATGGATAAATTGTCGTTCAAATTACACATGAAAATGAAAACAACATTGATATCTCATTTTAACAGATATATTTACCAAAATTACACAAAATACCTTGAAATACTAAAGAGTAAATTTATTCAATAAAATCACCATTGGTTTCAACCACAGCCTCCAGAACTCTCCTGCAACTCTTCTGGACAGTCTCCTTGTTTAAGTTGGTGAATGCTGCCTAATGCTTGCCTTCAGTTCATCTTTGGTGTTACAAGGAGTTTTGATGATCTCTCACTCAACTGTGCCCACACACATAACAATCAAGGGTTTCAGTCTGGAATGTTAGGTGGCCAGATGTAAGGAGTGATATGGTTGCAGAAATTGTCTAACACTCATGACTGTGTTCTCCTGCTTGTGTGGCATAGTGCAGAGTTTTGTTACCAGATGTAAGGTCTTCCAGCAGTCATCCTTTGACCCAGGGCAGCACTTGATGTAGGCCACTGTGTTGAGTCTGAGGCCCTTTGGGAAGATGAATGTGGCCATTACTAGTGATCACTCCAAACAATTTCATAATCACCATTAGACTCATCCAACTCTTTCCAAATCTTCTGCACTGTCCTCAGATTGACACCCAAACACACTGAAATGTTCGTATTGGAGCTTTCGGCACAAATGCCAAGCAGTAAAGTATGCGATTTCCAAATTCCTGGAAGAGTGAATTGTCATTGTGCTCTTTTTTTCACAGACAGTACCCAACTGACTCTACTATATAGTGCAGTTGACAAAATCAAAACCAAACACACATGCAGAAAATTAAAAATATAAAATGTCATCAATTTACCCATTGCACCCTGTATATAAAACAATGCCAATAGTTTAAAACCTTGTCTTTACTGTTATTATGAATATATAAATATATGATTACTCATCTCATTTTAGGATAACCAGTCTTTATTATTATACTACTCAGTATCAAAGGATAGAGCATTAATAATAATAATAATAATAATAAATTGATTACTTATCTCTCAGTATTGAAGGAGAGAGCAATAATAATAATAATTTTAAATGAAATAATAAATTATTACTAATAATAATGCTCTATCCTTCAATACTGTAAATAAAAATGATTGCTTGCCTAAAAAATTACTTGCATCCGGTCAACTATTTTCTAGTATAATATATGGGGGGGGGTATATATGTCTGTTTTATATGTGTCTGTGTATTTTGTATATGTGTGTGTAGGCTTTATATATGTCTGTGTAAGTTTCATATATTTGTGCATGTGCATATTTTATATATTAATGTTTGTGTTTTATATATTTATGTGTGTGTATGTGTGCAAGGTTTATATATTTGTCTGTTTGTTTTATATATTTATATATATGTGTGTGTTTTATATTTTTATATATGTGTGTGTGCATGTTTTATATATTTATATATGTCTGTGTGCATGTTTTATTATATATATATATATATATATATATATATAATAGAGAGAGAGAGAGATATTACTTAAATTTAAGAATGGTTTAAAATGAAACTATCATTATAGAAAATACAGTAAAAATTATAGGTAATTAAAATAACTCTGAGATTTATTTTAAAATAAATTTTAAAACTCCAAATCAGTTAAATGCTTTTTTATTTTTAAAGGATTCTTATTGATTTATTTTTCGTGGAGTTCATTGATGACAATATCAAGTGAATTTTATTTAAATTAACTTTTAAAACATTGTTCAAGAGTAAAAACCTTATAGTAAATCCTTTCTTTATGACAATGCATTAAAATGAAATCAATTTCATAAATTGGTAATATTCAAAGCAAGATTATCAAATTTATTTCCATATTTAAAAAAAAAAAAACATTAAAAGAAAGAAAATAGAAAAGGAAACTAAGTTGCTGCAAACTGTTTTTTTCTTTCAGCAAAAATACCTAAAAAATTTAATGCTTTCACACCAAAACCAACACTTTTCACAGAGCAAACAGATACTACACTCTGATCTTGGAGTTACCCACACCCTCCATTTTTGCATTTCATCTTGCAGTTACATTTGCATTTTATGTCATCCTACAGTAATATCTGATTCATGTTGAATAGTAACACTTCATCCATAGTAGAAACCAACAATCATTTTGTAATGAGGAAATGACTTTTTTGATTTCTTGGCTAAAATTAATTTTATTAATTCCTACTTACTTTAGGGAAAATGAACATGTACTTCTCACTTGTAGAATTCCCTTCTGGATTCATGCTTTCCAGGAAACTTTAATCTGCAAAAATTTAAATACAATGTCAATCGCTATCTACTGTCCTCCTGATTACTCTTTTCTCTTCCTGCTCATTATTAATGTTTCTGTTTCTAATTCTTCCACACCCAGTAACCTCTTGTGTCTTAGTGGCTTTACTGTCTTGCATGGGGTGAAACTGATTAAAAAAAATATTCATTGATGATGCCTTACCTAAAATATATTAGATGGTTCATAATGATAAATATTTCAAATGGAGAGCTTTTTTTTAATACTAAAGTTTGCCCAGTACAAGACCCAAGAGCCACTTAATATAGAGGGTTACTGTTAAAATGGTTATAAATAAGGTGTGTGATATGAATGAAAGAGGTGGTGGTTAGAAATGAAGATTATAAGGATAAGAAGGCTAGAAAACAGTTGTCCCTTAACTTGAAAAGGTTGTGTTCAAGGAAGCATCTATATGGAAGGCTGTTCCACAAAGTAGCAGTTCTTGGCAAAAAAGCTATCTGAGTGAAACTTTCTTGTTACATTGGATATGGGCAAAATGAAGATGATTCAACACTGTGGAAGTAGCATAGGATGTCTGAGTTGCAAAGGTCTGAACAGGTAGAACTAAAGAGTGGGTGTTTGCAATGTTGTCTATGGAAAAGAGATTGTGAAATGGAGAATAAGTGTTCCCAAACAAGACCGAATAAACAATTTTGAACATTATCTATAATGGAAAATTAGGATTGATCAGTTCCAGTGCATACATGGCAGAAATACTCTATTTTTAGTCTAATTTGAATCTTCTAAAAATAAAATAAAGCCAAAGTTACAGGTATTTTCTGAACCAATAAAATGAGCAGACCATTTTTCCAGCATTACAGTTATGAATTTAAGATTTCTAAAATTAAACAATAATCTATGACTGTTTCAAGTAACCTAGGTTTATGCACATTACTTTGATATATTTCCTTTTTACTTAAATATTAAATTTAAATCTCAGCTCTTTTTTATATATTTTTTTTTATATACAAAAGACAGAAAAAAAAAAGGGATTTCTAATTGCTTAACATCGGACAGTCTTAATGTTATAATTATTAGTCTTATTTATGATAATGGCCTTTATAAGGATGTGAAGGTGGCTTAATGGTTAAAATTACAGAAAATGGAATCAATGAGCCAAGTCCAAATGTTAGTTGAGACACTGTGTTTATTTTGTACTAATACTTTTGGAAAATGTATGAGTGTATCTTTTCTCCCCACCAACTCTTTGAAAAATATCAGGACAGACTGGGCCTCCAGCTTTGATTAGCAACCAGTCAAGAAGAATGACAACACTGAATTCAAAACCAAGAATTGAATCCACTTTTCCCCAAGGTAGATAGAAGTAGCCCTGAACTCATCCCAGCCATGTTTGAACTAATTTGTGTAATTGAAATTTAATTTCAACAGATGAGTTATTTTCAGTTAATTAAAACAATTCAATCAATTTATTGATTGATTGATTCATTTTCTATGACTTGCAAACACTTTCCAGGTTATTTAAAGCCAGAAAATATTTTTAGATTGTAAGATATTTTTTAAAATCATAATGATTTAGTGATACAAATCTTACTAATTAACCCATAGAAGGAAGAGAAGTGGTGATTTCATACCTTTCACAAGGGTATTTGCACATAAGTAAAGATAACAAATCCAACTGGAATTGGGACTCGACTCTGATTAACAATTCCATGTCATTATCCATTACATCACCCACACATCTAAGCTTACAGCACCTGATATTCCTAAGTGGTCACCCATCTAGGTACTGACCAAGCTCAATATTGCTTAACTTTTGTGATTGTATAGGAACCAGTGTTCCAATGCTACATGTGTTCAAAATAAAATTCATTTTTTATAACGATATAAGTTTCAAAAGCTAAGCAAAGTATTAAGAAACACAAAAATTTTGTTAGAAACAAAGAAAAGAGTACTGAAATGTTATGTAATATCTGTCCTCCTAAATGGTTGGGAATGCTGGACAATCTCTTCACAGATGAAGTGGAGACTTGAAGCAACAGAAATATGGTTCTACAGAAGAATGCCAAGAATACCATAGACTGAACATGTGAACAATAACAAGGTTTTAGAGAAAATGGCTAAAAAGGACTTAACATCAGAAAGAGTTGAAATTTCTAGATCATATAATGAGGAAAGAGGGCTTGGAAATTTTGACACTCCCAGGACATATTGAAGGCAAGCGGGACAGAGGAAAACAGTATATAACTTACCTAAAGAGCTTTCATGAATGGATGGCAGAACAGTGTTTTATTGCTTAAAAACATACGTTTGTATATCCACAATCTCATTTAGATGCATAAGAATACTTATATATGCATAGTAGTGAATGCCTATGTATAGATAAAATATAAGAATTTACAAATTATGATGGACAATTATTTCATTATACTAACTTTGGTAATGAAAATTTTAATGACTAAAATTAATTTCTCCCTTCAATTAAAGTAAGGTAGTCTCTGATAAGTTTTTTTTTTCTTTTTCTCCCTGATCCTAAAGTGACAATGAATTAAATGTGTGATAGGATTTGTGAACAATGAATATTTGCTACTGTAAATGTTTTTAAAGATTTTCCTTTGATTTTCAAGAAATGTTTGTTTTAATTCTCTTCTTCTGTAGACTTTCGTTGCAGTTATTGTTATGTGCTTTCTCTATCTAGGCTTATACAAAATTTATTTAAAATATTGTCCTGATGAAGAAAGAAATACATTCTGTACTGATATCTTAAAATATCAGCAATTTATCTGTTCTTGTCCAAATTTGATTTTCTTTCTTTTATCATGATAAGATCTTAATGGTGTCCATATTCAACTGTGATATCACCTGACAAATTGATTATTTCAGACACAAGTTAGAAATTAAATGAATTAAGAATTGCTTATCAAATGGTTTATCAATTTATCACTTAAAATTTATTTTTTCAATATAGCCAATTTATTACTATTGTTTGTACAATTTATTGAAATTACTTCTTAAAATCTTGTTTCGAAATCTTCATTTATCATGAAACTTTTACAATGAACATTGATTTTTTTCTTTATTTCGTGATTTTATCATTGGCATTTTTTTCTCTCTTATATTTGAAAATGGATAAAACACTATGCATTAATTATTACATTCCACAGAATAATATGGTATAAGAAAGGCCTTGAGACTTCATCTTGAATATACCATAGTGGATAAAAATAATATGCCTCTTTTGAGATGTTAATCTTAAAATTATATTTATAAATTTATATTTTTCAATGTAGAACTGATTATACAGATACATGTTGATTCTGGATCTTTGCTTATGAAAACAGATAATAATTACTGTCTCTTATAAGGTAGGATAATTTTCTGGGTAGGGAATAACTTGTTTTCTGTATGGCCATTATGCTTTATAATCGATGTATATGATGATGGTATATGTTGCACAGAGTGGGGGAATGTAAAATACATTATATGAACTATGTAAATACAAGAGAATCAGAAATATTTACATCTTTGATGTGTAATGTCCCTTCAGGACATGTGTGATCATGGCTCTCTACAACTTCCACTCTTTTGTTGCTCTAAGTAACTTCCATTTACACAAAAACTTGTTAGATAGGTTACTTGCTGTTTTCCCCATGTTTTTCTTGCTTTCAATATGTGCTGCGAGTGTTATATTCTCTAGGCCTTCTTTCCTTATGAATCCTAGAAATTTCAGCTATCTCTTTCTGATTCTAAGTATAAGTGACTGTTTAGTTCCTATTTTCCTTAAAACTTTTTCCTTGCTCATATGTTCAGTTCATGTCATGACATTTTCCACTTTGACTCTTTTCATCTATGAGTAAATTGTCCAGCATTTACTGCCATATAGCAGATATTATAGAGTCATTCAGCATCCTTATCTTCCTTTCTAATTAAAAGCTATTACCATTTTGTTAACTTCCCAAAACTATAAGTAAGAGTAAATCACAAATAGTTAAAATTACTGAGTTCGTGAATAGTTAACAGTAGGCCAACTTGCTTTGGACACCATTTGATATTGATATACTGCAAATACAAGAACCATTATATTATAGATGTTTTTTTTTCACAGAAAAAGAAAATGTATAAAATCTGTGGGTCAGAAATGTTGCCTCTGCTTCCTTGATTGAATTGGATTATGGTAGAATTTTCTGGAAAAACATTGGGGCAAGAATTGGCATTGAATAAAATATACATAGTAAATAAATTTATCTATTTATTTTTTTGATTGCTGAGCTAAATGAGTAAAAATACATTATATGAACTATGTAAGTACAATAGAATCATAAATATTTACTTCTTCCTCTTTCCCTATGGCACAGAAGGCAAAAAAAAGACACACACATATATATATATATATATATATATATATATATATATATATATATATATATATTATTTATTAATTATTTATTCGAAAATTATAACATAAATATGCTATAAAATCACTACAAAAATAGCCATTTTGTTTCAACACTTCTGGTGTCTTATCAAGTGACGGTGTTGAATGTATATTTACTCTACTTTGTATTGAGCACTCTTTTAAGAATAGCATTTTTTGGTTACTGGAATTTATTCTGTATACACCAATCCTATACTTGTAAATATATATATATATATATATATGTGTGTGTGTGTGTATATATATATAGTGTTAATTTGAAATACTGCTTTTGAAGCCAAAATTGCTGGTTTGTTGATAAGGAGGCATTTAAGACAAGCAGGCTTTGTGGTAGAGTGCTCACTATCAAAGATAGTGACAGAGCAATAATAGAATTAATATGAAAAAGTTTTTTTCACCTAACTCATATTTACTTTGGAGTTTTGTAGTTATATAGGGTCAAACACTTGGCAAACTGTGACTAATCTTTGTTATGCAATTTTATTTACAATTATAATTTTTCTAAACTGTCATAGGATAATTTAGATTTTTTACCTTTTTTAATGTTTTGTACCATACTGTGCATATCATTTTCCTCAAAAGATCATAAGAAATAAAACAGAAAAATATGACTTCAAAAAATCGTCATTTCCCACAGGAAATAATATACCTGATTATATATGACACATTTTTCCCAAGTATTAAAACTTCATAGATTTGTATTAAATACATGAAAAACTTTATTTTTTTTTTTTACTGGGCCGAATAAAGAATATGTTTGATTAATTGATTTTTTTTTTTTATGGCTTATCATCCCTTTCTGTTAAAGCCAGAATATATTTTCTAAGAATTTTTTTGCCAGTAAATATTGCTTTAACAATTTTTACTTTTTTTTTTTTTTTTTTTTGAGAATAACAATGATTTTTCCAGATACAAGTCCTACTATTTAACCCATAACTGTGGGATGAGATGTATTCATACCTTTCCTAAGGTTATTTGTGCATAAGTGAAAGTAACAAGCTCAACTGGAATTGAACTCAGATGTCTAATTTATAGAATATGAATGAAGTCTAATCATATTCTATACACCAGCCGACAAGAACAGTTGGGAGGGCTAAATCAGATTTTAAAGTTTAAAACTTCCTGATTCTATATTTTTTTATCTGATCCTCTCTTAAAATTAACTTTTTTTTTAAAATCTCTTATCCTCCAGCAAAAATTTTAAATCATTTATCCTTCAGCCAGCAAAAATTTTAAATCTCTTATCCTCCAGCAAAAATTTTAAATCACTTATCCTTCAGCCAGCAAAAATTTTAAATCTTTTATCCTCCAGCAACTATTTATTTTTTGCTGTGATTTTTAAATACATTTTCTTCTTTTTTTTTTCTCTTTTACTTATATTTATTTTCTGGATTGAGATGTATACACTTTTCCCACATATAAGACTTACATAAAAAAAAAGTTTTAAAAGACAATGTTTCCAAAAGAAAACTGAAAAGTTTTATGATAGTAATAATTTAAGACGAATTATACAGTTCAGTTCAATACCATTGTTATAGATTGAGTCCAAGAAGACAAATTTAGTCTTCCAAGGAAAAAGGAATTGTTTAACTCCCCAGCATTGTGGATGACTAACACTTATTATTTTAATATTCTGTTTTGAAATGAAGAGGAGTTCAAATATAGTTCATAAAACAAAAGTGTATCTTGTCATTCAGGTGAAATAGATTTGCATATAAGGAAAAGTTGAAATGATATTCATGTTATCTATTTAAATTTTTTTATTCTAATTTTTTTTTTTTTTTTCCTTTTCAGACATGGAATCTTACTATGACCCCAAATTGGTTCTTTAACAAGTGACATAAAGGACAAGTTTACCATTTAATTTAAAGACGATATTGGAATATTTATACTCTGAGAACTTATTTACAATAAAAATAAAAAACAATAACACATTACCATTGGATCAGTAACCTGGAAAAGGCGCCAAGCTACAAGGAATTTGGTAAGTTTTTCTCAGAAATATCTCAATATTTAATTCCTTACAGTCTGTGCATTTTTTTTTTTTTTTTTTTTTTTTGAATTAATTGTTGCATATATTACCAATATGAGATATAATTTTCAATTTCACCAGAAAGATGCCTTATAAAACAGCCCATATATTTTATTGGATTTATAAAATATTTTTATCTGTTTTTCACTGTAAATATTGCTTTTATGAGGCTGTGAAATTGAAATCCTATAAGCATCAATGATTTTACTGAATCATTTGACAAAGTCTTGTCAGGAGCTATTTTAAATTTAAATATATTTTTGGATAATTAATCAATTCTATAAATCCTCTTGTAAGCTAACTTAATATTTTGAATACCTCTAAAACTAGTTAAAAAATATTTCCTTTCTAAATATAGCAGTGGGATGCTGAAGCAAGTTTA